GAGTTTTTTATTAGAGTGCTTAATCGTGTTTGGAATCAAATGTCCTCTGCCTCTGTTCCATATTTTCTTTGACTGTCTGTTTTTAGAAAATAATCTTTCCTCATGACAAATGGAAAGGCAGTGATTTGCAAAGCCTTAGCCAGTGTAATTAAGAGCCAAGAGCAGCTGACCTGAAAAAGCAGCAGTGAAAAACATAGTCAATTGTTAAACATAAATTACTCCATAATTAAGTCCAATTGTCTTATAGCAAAACTAGCTCTTTCTCTCTTCCGTTACTTGGACAGAAATCTTACTGAGGGATTTTGCCTGTGGCATACTTTTCTACTAAAAAGTTCATAACGCTGTGCAAGATCGTTTTCTATCATAGCAAAAAGGGTTTATGTAAGTCAGATTCAAGCACTAATCTCAGGGAAGTGATGCAGTCAAGCAACAGCCCTATGGGCCAGTCCGACATCTCAGTGCTTTTGGGAAGCAAGGCCTCTGTCTGCCTCAAGACATGAACCAGATGCTGTCCGTATTTAGGTATTTTTTTCCACTAGCGGGTTCTATGAACCCTCTTGCTCCAACTCTGCTGCTGTCCCCAGCCAAGGGACAGCACGGGAGATTAAGTAGTTGCAGGAGTCTCTGGTCTGCACCTTCTGTAGCCCCAGTATGACAGAGAGGACATTGGCCATTGATAGTTACTCCTGCCCGGCGTCATAGCCTTGCATCATAACATCCATATATTTTAATGTTATAGAGAGAGATGGAACCTAGAATCGCTGCTAGAAAAATGGCAAAACGACTGTTTATGCTTCATAGTCCTATTTGATAGAAAAAGCTAAAAAAAAAATGTTGCTAAAACTAGGAATCATTCCAGCTTTCCTTCCTGTCCATTTACTGGACCTAAGAAACAACAGGGAAATCCCACAGAGAGCCAAGAGTGACCAAGAAGACAACAGGCTGGGTTTCTGTTTGTTTTTCTTCAGACTTTGAGCAAGGGTAACAGAAACCACTGGTCCTCAGGTGAAATTAGCCGGACTCACAAACTAATTGTATAGGACAGGCCCCTGAGGAAGAAAACAAAATATACACAAAATCAACCCAGCTGGCTCATACTGCTCTGCCTGGGTATCTTCTGGGAGATCATAAGAACTTTCAACTTCTCTTTTAAAAAAAGGAAATAGCAGAAATTGGCTCCTACCATTGATTAGTTCAGCTTATATACCTTTTGTGTATATAAGACTGTCTTCCATGTTTTCCTGCTTCACTTCTTTTGAGTGGGGCAATAAAATCACTGCAACCAGGTGTAACCAACTTGTAAGATCTTGTGGAGTGGTGATACCCCCCCCCACAGTGGGATGGCAACACAGAAGAAACATGTGTTGGATGCAGTGGTATCCTCACGGATCAGCCCCTTTGCCTGGCTCACTGCAGGACAACGGCAGCATACTTTGGATGTTGATCTCCAAGAAATAAAAGTGCTTTTCCATAGCACTTCAAAAATCTGTATTCCGATGCTACCCGGATTGGCAGTAAACACAAGTGCACTCCTCGCTTGGCGGATTTCTTGAGGTGCAAGCAACACCGCGGAGGGACTGAGCAGGCTCTCCAGTCTGGCTTCCCCATTTGTGACTAAAGCTCAAGGAAAAGAGGACCGCAGTGCGGCTGCCTGAGGTGTCCCAAGGCTGTTTCCTCAGTGTCAGCCCAGCACCAACGCATTTCCTACTCGTTTATAAAAGTTACCTGTCCCTCAGCAGTACTGAGCTGCAAACCGCCCAGTAAAACTGTGTGTTTTCCAAAGAAAAGGGCTGATATTCTCTGAAGAGAGCTGGAGATTAAACAGAGCAGTTTCATAAATCCCCAAAAAGCCAGCGGATGAAACCTAGTGAATTTTTATTGTAGACAAGAGGAGGAAGGATATTATAGTCCTATCAGACTGTGTTTGAAGGTTTGTTCCAGGACTAGGTCTGTGCACATTTTTATTATTATTATTCTATTTTTAATTATATCCAGGCCCCTGAAATGCCTGTCTGCTTTCTGACAGCTCACAGTCTTTATTTAACCACCTACCACTGTCACGTCAAAGAGAAGAGCTGTTATTCTCCGTGTTTCTATGATACGAGGTTAAGGTCACACAGAAAATCTATAGCAAACTATGAAACCAAACTGGATCTCGATTCCTGTCTTAGCCATTAGAAAATCCAAAGGGAAACTTGCAATCTTAGAAGATGCCCTAATTTCACAATCCGTCTGCATTGTCTGCACTTTTAGTGTTCAGGAAATCTGTATGCTTGGGGAACAGTATCCACTGTCAGTTAAAAGAGCGCAAATCTGTACTAACTTCACCAGTTCCAGTTAAATTAATTACATTTTCTTTCTCTTTTCATTGACATATTGATGGCTCTTCTACCCACTTGCAAAATTTAGCTGCAAAATGTATCTCATAATAAAGTTAGTTAAAAAGCACCACAGTGGGAAAAGATTGCACCCTCTATATTTGCGTGGTGACACATGCTATCCAGGAGCCATCATGGTGGTTGGAAGGTCCTTCTGGAGCCTTCACCTAGTCCTGCTCCAAGCAGGACTTTTGGCCAGTGTTGGTTCAGGTCAGCATGAGCTTTATCATTTATAGTTATTTTTCACATAAGCCATTATGCTACATCCCAGTGACATTATTAGCAGATTTTGGTGTCTGTCTGATCTGTGAGAGAGGCAAATATAAACCCTATTTAATATGTGCAAAGAGGATATATTGCACGAGTTGTAGAGTGATTCCCTAAAGCTGCTTATGTTCATTTTATGAGACAAACTTGGCACCAATTTAAACCATGTAAATGTTATAACAGAACAGTGTGCCATGAGCTAAAGACTGTGAATGGAGAAATGCTGGCTCTGTAATAGCCCCTAAGTGTCAAAAAGGTCAAAGAGCTCAGAGAGTGCTCAGAAAGGAGGGCTGGAAGAGGAGCAAAGGAGCAAGTATTTGTACTGTCTAAATCGTTCTCCTCACTGGCAGTTTGGGGAGCATCAGCTCCTAATTCATTGCACTCTGCATTGCACCTCAGGAAAACACCTGATGGGATAAATAAGCTAGATGGTATGAGTAGCCCACCTAAGTCTTCCCTCTGTCTCCTGAGGATCAAGTATCCTTGAAAGATGAAGGTACAAATCTCTCTGTGTGGTCTTTGCCTTTCACTCTGAGGATAAGCCTGCTTAAGGCTCAGAGAACAGCCGCCCAGCACATCAATAACCACTTAAAAAGCTTCTACCATCACATCCCAAGATGTAAACAAACAGTCTGTAACAAATCCAAAACAGGCACTAGTAAAACAGAAAACACCGCTTTTATCTCACAGAGCAGCATTTATTCTTCTTGATCTATTTTTTATTTTTATTGTCATAAATGAACTAAAAAATTAGCTTTGTAATTCTTCATCCTTCCATAAGCTGCAAATCAAAGTTTGCTTAGCAGAGCAGAGACAAATTCTAATGCTGCAATTTCTCTTGCCTTTGCAAAAAAAAATAGAGTTTGAAAAGAATAACACAGCCACAGTCTTTGGCCAAAAACACAAAATCTTGCAGAAACAATTAGCAGTGGAAACAATGTACAAGGCTTTGTAGCTTTAATCTGATATAGAAGGCTTGGAAGCCAGAGAATAAAGTTACCTCCCCTCCTGCCACAGACTTGGATCCAACATCAACACACAGATCTTCCTGTGCGCTTGTCCAGAGCTACCAGCTGGCCGCACCGTGTTTCTCTACTGACAGGCCGCTGGTTTATAAGGGGTTGGTTGTTGGGCCCACTACTTTTTACTAGGACAATATAAGAAGTGTCAGCAGCAGAGTCGTTGGCCTTTGCTGCTTCCGCTGGGGTCGAAGCAGCACAGAGCACCCTGGGTGCCTATGTGTGGTCTCCTGCAGGGTGGGAAGGGGTGGGAACCTCAGTACACAAGTTCTCCAAGGCCGCGCTGCAAGGCCACGTGCAGGCCCAGGGCTGCAGCGCCGCGGGCTGGCGCGATACCGTCGTGCTGCAGCTCCTGAGCTCTGTGAGCAGCCCCGGTGGGACCAGCTGCCCATGGGTGGCCACGTTTAAACACGACTTCATCTTCCCTTCGCCCTCAGCAGCAAGATGAGCAGCAAGCAACGCTTGCAACCTCTGCGAAGCTTCTCTCCCCAAAGGCCATGTAAGCAAGGCATAAAATGCCCTTAACTCTCATGGACGTAAAGGGAAGCTTTGGGGACTTGGCTTCTTGAGGCTGGCGCTTAGTAAAATGGCCCAACCGTGAGCTTTTATCAGGCCTGACAGACACCACAAATCTTACTCCTGCTGGAAACAGCCATAAAGCTTTCACTGTGTTAACTGACACTAAGCCATATCAAGCTCACTTACATCCATATAACCATATTTCTGTCAGTGGAGTCACACGTATGTCACTGAGAAGGAAATTGGTGGAAGCTCCCACTAGGACTCTGCTAGATACAGAAAGTGCACACTGCAACCTTAGACTGTACCTCAGAGAAGCTGAACAAGTTTAAAATTGCTGGTTACTAATTTCCCAGGCTGCTACCCAAATAAAAATGTACCTGGGATACCCGTGTCCACCTATAGCACCCACAGTTAACAATTTAAAAAGAAGACAGATGCAAAATAAGAGCTGCAGAAGTGTATTAGTGTCTAAGACTTCTCAGGTCCCTGCTGTAGTAAATTTTCTCTGCCAGCTTCCTGTGTGATTATAAAGTCAGCCTTTTATCCTTTCAGTAAATATCTGAACTAAAATGTTCATTTGAGATAAATGCAAAACAGGGAACAAATCTAATTCTGCTCCTGCTGTGCAAACTTATCCATACAAAAACAAACCATGCCACATTTCAGGTGCTGTGAAGGGTGAGAACCTGCAGGAAAACACGACCAAGATAAAGCAAAATAAAATAGCCCTTAAGACATAAACGTAGTTTCACCCCAGTGAAACCCTTTTGCTGTGGATAATGTCTAACAAGGGGCTTTCTCTGCTTCATTTCAGAACCACGATCACACCTGTATCGCGTGCAGAATCATCTACCGGTCAGACGAGCACCATCCTCCCATCTTGCCCCCCAAGGCGGATTTGACCATCGGGCTCCATGGGGAGTGGGTGAGCCAGCGGTGCGAGGTGCGCCCCGAGGTGCTCTTCCTTACTCGGCATTTCATCTTCCACGACAACAACAACACGTGGGAAGGCCACTACTACCACTACTCCGACCCCATCTGCAAGCACCCCACCTTCACCATCTACGCCAAGGGGCGCTACAGCCGAGGAGTGCACTCTGCCAAAGTGATGGGGGGCACAGAGTTCGTGTTCAAAGGTAGAGCAGTGCACCTTATCTGGGCCTAAACGGTCAAGCAGCTGTCAAACGGAGCTGGGTTTGCACATAGTGGCTTGAAAGACACTAATGATTTAATTCTGTCATTTCATTCTGTTGCTTTTTAGGATTTAGATGTTTCTTGGGAAGTTCTAAGCATTCCGTGACTACCCAGACAAACTATACGATATATATTTTATTTCCCACCACTGAAGCAATACTCATCTGAGGCAAATTATGGACACGTTTAAAAGCAATAACATCAGACTTTAACTTGTGTGAGTAAGTCCTGGAGGCCACCAGCCAGATTTTAAACATCTTAATGAAATGCCTGAGTTTTGTATCAGTGTCCGAGAGTTACTTTAGTGGAGAGAAAAAAGTACCTTCAGAAAGCATTTCACATCATAGGGGAGGCAGATATAGAAGTGTATGTCTTTTTTTTTTATCAGCTTCAAAGAGGGTCTAGATAAAGATAGCTCCGATTAATCCCACAATAGCAAAAACTAGGTGTACTTAATAAAACCACTGGCCTGCTTCAGGAGGCAGCATTCAGAGACGACGTAGCTCAGTTCCCAATGGCTAAAGAGTTGCTTTGTACAAACAGCTCCATAGCACCCTGCTCACACACACACACACACATCTGCAAAATACAATGTCCCTTCATAGCACCAGCCCCACTGGAACTGTGAAAGCCCCAAGCTCTCTCTGCAGAATATTTTCCTTCACACTTTGTTTATCATGTGAGAAGCACATAGCTTCTTGCATGCCTCCAATTTAAGAAAGCATCTGACTAGAAGAAATAACTTACTGAGCAGGAGTTTCACAGGAGGCATAAGATATCCTTGCCTGTCAGAGCTTGTACTCTTGTATTCATGCTCTATGTAGGATGTCCCAGTCAAGGTCCTGGAATGAAATCCAGTTACGCTCAAAATCATAATCGGAATTTGTTGATTTGTTTCTGTTTCAGTTAGTATAAATCCATTCAGAATCCCTATTCTTCCCTTGAAACACAGTATCAAACAAACACCTAGAATAATCTCTACTCAACTTCCTCAGGCTCGTTCAGTTTAACTTCTCCCAACTTGATAAACTGGGCTGCAAAATCAGTATTTATGTGCCTCAAACTTGCCTTTGAAATTTAGTCAATTTAGTTAGAAGCAAGAAGCTGTAAAACTTTTACATTTGCAAGTGTATGCTGAGTCACTGTTAGGAGAAAGAGTAGCCCTCTAAAATTCAGCACTAACTGCAAGATTCATACAAGAAGAACAGATGATATATGAAGACACTGCGGTTGTGGTAATTTCCAAAATGGAACTTATTTCATTAGCTTTATGGGCTAACATATGTTAAAAGAATGATAAAAAGATGTTATAAAGAGCCCTACTTATGCGTTAAATGGTAATAAAATATGAGTAAAGTTTTATTATTTCCTCTTTTATGAATCTTCTCATGTGACCAATAGACTTTATCACTAAAAGATTGTCTGGGATTTATGAAAAGCTCTGCTTAATCTCAAGGATATGCAACCACTAGGTTTCCTTCAGTAGACTTTTTTTGAAGCAGTTATGTCCAAGATGTAAAGTGATGCTAGTAGAACTTTGGGCCACATCTGCAATATAAAATTTTGATTTGAGAAAAAGAAAAAGCAGAGATTCAGAGTTGCTCTAAGTCTTCTTGGGAAGATTAAAAGACATCCTTAAATAAGTTGAAGGAGCACCAGAATGTTGCCCAGACATATACAGAACAGCTTTGTCTCCATAGATTCTAAGGCTAACTGAAACCCTTCACAACTTTACTAGCATCAGGCATAACATACATAGACAAAAGGGTCAATTTTAAAAGGATTTTGCAGTTTGCTTCCCCTACTGATCACAATGATTTCTGCATGTCTTAGACCAAATACTGAGATCATGCCCACAAGGAACCTAAGTGTCCAGTGCCACCTGGGCAGGCACAACGGTGAGCACCCACTACGAGTCTCATGTCACAGATAGGCCAGCCTGTTGTCCCCCTCCTGCTCCCTCTGCTGACGCCTCCTCTCTTCCTTTTCCACAGTAAACCACATGAAGGTCACGCCCATGGATATATCCACAGCCTCGCTGCTGAACGTCTTCAACGGGAACGAGTGCGGGGCGCAGGGATCCTGGCAGGGGGGGGTTCAGACATCGCGCTTGGCATCCGCCTACCTCACACCGAGTATGAAATCTTCAAGATGGAGCAGGACGCCAGGGGCAGGTACTTGCTGTACAACGGCCAGAGACCGAGCGATGGCTCCAGCCCAGACAGGCCGGAGAAGAGAGCCACTTCCTACCAGATGCCTTTAATTCAGTGCGCTTCATCAGTACCCAGATCCGAAGAGTCACCAGAGGAGAATAAAATAAGTCTGTATAGCAGCAGGGCAGCAGAAAAATATTCCAGCACCCCAGCTCTTGCTTTGGTGTTGTTTATTTGTACTGTGTCATATTGGGACATGCTCAGCTAGAAGTGAAAAAACTATTTTTCATGACTACAAAGCCAGGATTCCATAAGACTGAGGGCTGTTTTTCTTCAGAATGAAAGGGACATTTATTTCCTTGATGCACTTGAATGCCTGACAAGTGTTGTTCTTTTCCCTGTTTTTACCCTGCTCCTTGAATCATGGACGGCACTCATTTGATGTCTGTGCTTTGAACTTCATCCAGTCTGATCCCTGGCCTGACATGACTGCACAAAAGTAATTGCACTTTAGGACTGCAGACTTCTGGGGGGAGGGAAGGGGTCTCCTTTTCTTAACTGCTGGGGTGAACCTTACAGTCCTGCTTCAGCTGCCTCTGCCATTCTACCATTGTGGTACTTTTCTCCCCAAGGCTTGATTTCTCATCAGAATTTAACTCCGAGGAGTCACTCAGTGTAGTGTCAATACTGTGATAACAGCTTCCCCCTTTGACTTTAGGGCTCTGATGTAGATATATGTATATAAGAAAGAAAGCCACAAGGATCTATCTAATCGTTATCTCACACCTCATAACACAAAAAGGATCTGCAAATAAAACAATCCTCCATTCAGACAAGTGGTATCTCCAATTGAAAATATTCTAAGTAATTTAAACTATTTTTACAATCATGGAGTTGCAGAAATAACCAATGACTTAGTATTTTCTCTTTCGATTTTCTTAATTGCTTCTAGGCCTGCCTTTCTATCTAGTGAGTAGTTGCAACCAACCCCTCTTACAGCCAGATAGAAAACAGTTTTTTTTTAATCACACATGCACTGTACAAATTGCTGATATAAGGCTGAAGTGACAGGCTCTGTTTTCATTTTCACACGGCCTTATATACTCTCTATGCAATATTTGTGCCTTGCAATTGGTTTTATCCAAGTGGATAAACCAAAGGAGCCTATGAGGCCTTAATACATTCTGCAATCCAACCTAGCAGCATGGGTTTAATGCAACATTAAGCAGGAACAAGCGAAAGAAGAGCCCTGGTAGCCCTAGTATTGTCTTTAGTTTAGAGAGCAAGAAAGCAGTAGGAACCAGCCTCGCATCCATCTCACACAGGGAGACTGACCCAGTCTTCTGGGAGGAGCTGCAGTGGGAGTTGCACCAACAGCCTTATCCACATTCTCGCCTTGCTTGACATTGTGGTTTCTCCGAGGTAAAACCTGATCAGTCTGCAGAGACACCACGCAGAAGAAACAGGCACAACCCTCGGAGAGCTTCCCCCTGCAACACCCCAGGATCTCCACCAGTGAAAATATCATCTCCTGTACACACAGATATGAACCAGAGCAAATGGATCCTGTCAGGAGAGCCAAGAGAGTTAAGAGCAGCGAGGAGGTTCAGGTCGCAGATGAACCCTGCTCCCCTGCTTCGATGGGTACCAAGGCGAGGACACAACTTAGCCTTGCAGCATTTGCAGTGTCTTTACTGGTACATGGAGCATTCTGGCTCACAGGAGGAGCAGGAACCTGTGTGAGAAACAGGAGCAAGGTCGTAGTCTCTTCATCAGTATCTAAGTAGAACCTGCCCAGTGTGGACCAGTGAGGAAGAACCCTCCAAAGTGGTGGGGTTTTTTTAGCGTTATAGGAAAAGCATATTTGAAGCAAGGTCCTTCAGCTTTATATAGATGAGTCCATACTGTGTGCTACAGCAAAAGTGTTCCTTTAAAACAGTGATACCATCAGTCTCGCTAGCAGAGCAGGCAGGGAAAAGCTAGTCAAGTAGCAATGATGACACCGAGGCTCCCTGACTAACTCCCCCACATTTGCTGCTTTCTTTGCAGTTTTGCAAGTTGGTGTCAGCCTTTGATGCACATTTCCTCACAAAGGGGCACAAAATCAGGGCATTCAGATGTCTTGGGGAGAGCAGGAACAAGAAGAACCGCAGACTCTCATTGCTCTAGCAGATGACATGTCTCTCATTTTTTTCCTCAAACAGATGAAAAGCCACAGAAAACCCAACTCAGCTATCAGAAACACAACACAGGGGTCACCTGAAAGTATTCATGGTGAATCGAGCCCCCAGAACAAGAGCTGATCTCTTCACCATTTCTTGCTATGGCTTTCTGCTCTGCACAGCTCAACCTATTCAGAGAGTTCTGGATGAGCTGCAGGTGGGGAGGACTTAGGAGCATAGTTTAAACTGAAGGGTCAAGAGAGTGACATGATAACTATACTTCTGAACAAGGACATTAAGTACCACAAAGAATTTTCACCAGTTAAGGCTTCAGTTTTATGTTCAACAGATTCACACCAGCGTCTCCAACTGAGCCACTGCTGGTCTACTAGTGGATAGTCAGAGAAGTCCCTTCAGATATTAGCTTAGTTCCTGACTTCTAAGTTGAATGAACAAATCCATGTTCGTTTCTATTTATTAAGATGCACACTGGGTGTATTTCTTAAACTTACATAACATGTTTATTTCTCCACTACTCATTCCCACTTAGGTTGTCTCATCTCCTGAAAAATCTAATGATAAATTGCCTGGACTTGTTTGACCCTGACCGTGCACTGTGCAGGTGCCACACACTGCTTAGTCCCAGCTGAAATCTGTGCAGCCCTGCAATGCAGGACTGAAGCCTACAGCAGAACTGGTCTTCAACATAACATGCAATGTTTAGTAGGGCAATGACCCATATATTTATTAGTGCTTCATAGCTCCTCTGTAAATTGCTTAGCATCAGAATTATCATAAATCTCAAAAGAGAAAGACTTGTGTAGTTTTCTTCTGAAAAGCACATTCTATCAAAATACAAAAAACACTCACTTTGAATCTTGCAAAAATTTAGGTTTGCCAAGAGTTTTCTTACTTGCACTAATTGCAAGTGTAACAGAACTTAAGAATTGTGCAGGAATTGCTTTTTTCTTTCTATGACCTAGAGATACTTAAAAAGGAAGCACAGCACAATGCATTGCAAGAAGTTTGATTTGGGGCTCTTCCAGTTCATTTGTAGTGTTGATTAGGAACAAAATTTCATGATTTGAAAAATTTTCATGATTTCCTGATTTTCATAGCATATGCTGCACCAGCCTCCTGCCTCGTGTCTGTACATAAATATACCTTTTGTTTTCCCATTCATCAACACAAGCCAAAGGACAGAGATAAAAATAAGTCTTCAGAGGGTGTACTTTATTTGTCAATCCGTGTTCTCTAGAGGGATTCTCCTAGGTCACAGGCCCAGGAGCTAAGCTTCCTTCGTCTTCCCCTTTCATCACACAGAGCTGTACAACGCCGTGTACACGTATGGCACAATAAACCCCATTCGTTTCACTTGCTCAACCTGATCTCGACCTATGTGGGCAGCTCTGGCTGCTGAGGAACTTAAGCCATGCTTTAAGTTAATGGTTAATGGCTTAGCAGTGGAAGACCTGCAAATTCTGTAATTTCTCTCGCACCGCTGGGAGAACTGTCCCTGCAGCCAGGATGAGTAAAGAAGTTCTCCCCTTCACACCACTCTAATAGCTTACTCAAGAAGTCACCCTATACAAAAAAAAAAAAAAAAGTATAGCAAGAGCAGCTTGGGCATTTTTTTTCATGTTCTATTCTAAAAAGGGCAAAAGGGATCAGAAAGTTAAAATGAAAGTGTTCCTGGTCTGCTCCTATACCCTTTACATATTGTGCCTGCTGCCCTGCGAGGGAATGTTACTTTTATGAGCAGAAGTCCATATTTTGGGATACAATGTCTGTCTTGCTTGAGTTGGAGTGTGCTTGCTTAAAGCACAGCATTTTTAGAAAAAAATCTTTTTATTTTTGTAAAGTTATAGAAGGTATTTTTCTTCTCAATTATATGTTCCAGATTAAACTGCCGGGGAAGTTTGAGCACTTGTTAAAATATTGATTGAAATAAAAAGAGCCTAACTGAAAAAATCAGGATTCCTCTGCTCATGCATAGTAATTTTCTGTCGTCTCTGTCACCTGCAAAGAATAATCCGTGTCTTGGAAAGCTATATCCCTCTGACTGGTATCTCCTCTAGTTGTGCACGGATAAGCTTATTGTATATGAGAAAGCAGTTTTACTTGAGAGCATCTCGCTAGAAACAGCTGTGATGGATACAACAGGGATGATCAGGGTTTCACAGTGAATCTTCAGGTTGCCTGAGTGCGGCTAGTTGAAAGGCAGGCTGAAGTGTTGGCTTGCAAGGGCAGTATGGTCAGAACAGCCGTGGGGCCGTACAAAGCAGGTGGCATCAACAGAAATAACTTATTTTTCATTAAAGAAACTTCAATCAAACAGAACAGGATTATTGCTGTGTTGCACTTGCTCCAAGGGTTGTAACACAGGGGAAAAAATAGGGTACTTTTCTTAAAGATACAGAAATCTGTGAGCAAAAGATTTCTCATCTTCCATGCTCTGCAGTTTCACTACTGCCTCCCTTCCGTACAGAAGATGGGTGAAATGAAGTCCTGACTTTCTGAAAATTCAGAAACTTGTCCAATCCCAGGCTTTTGAAGTGACTCAGAACTTCTGGAAACACAACAGCAGATCCCTGAACAGAGAGCTTGATTTTCAGGAAGCATGCCCTAAATTACAAGGCACTCTGAGCGCTCCGAGCCGCAGCCCGTAAAGCAGCAGCTTCCCTTTCCACCCAGAGCTGTGGGCACGGCAAATTCAGACATAAATAGACACTACATGGCTTAATTCACCCCTTCCTGGGGCAAAAAGAAGGCTAGGTAGCAAAAATCCAGCACCACTCTGAATTTTAACATTTAATTACTTCCCATTTATCTTTTTTTCCTCTTATTTTATAATAAAAGTATTTCCAAAATTTTTTTCCCTCTGATCATCTCTGGACTGTGAACACAGTGTTGATTTTTTATTATTATCATTTGCTGTCAGCACCAAATAATAAAGAAATGGAGAAACTGATTTTTTACTTTATTCTGCTGAATCAGGCAGAAATAAGGGCTGAATATTTGCCCACGGTTGAGAGGAATCAAACCACGAATACCTACAAAAAACGAGGAAGCGACGCTGCTGGCTTGAGCAATCACTTGTCAAGCTCCCCTCTCCCTACCCCTTCCCCTCCTCAGTTTTGTTCCGGGGTAGGGAGCTGTCCCTTGCAAGGATTTTCACCATGGAGCTGCCAAGCTCTGAGGACAATAATTAAATCACAAGCAGCTTCCAGCAAAGGAAACTGCCCGTGCCTGAAAGCAGACGGACGCTACACCCAGCATCCTTTTCCCATGGGAATCAGCTTTGTTTGTATCCTATACAGTTGCTGGGACGCTCCATTGGAAAATGGGAAACAGAACTGTACAGGATAATATTGTCTTTAAATAAATGAAGAAAGTCTACCAAAAAAATGTTTGCATGGGGAACTGCTGGGAATTAGATCCTCTACATCCTCCCTCTTGCGTGCAGCAAGTTCACAGACACAAAAAGCATGTCATCAGACCTACAAACCCTTGCCCAGAGGCAGAAACTTGCTGGATAACACATTCCTTATGAATTTCTTTTAAGCAAATTTCCAACCAGTGAATTCCTTCTCCCTCATCACCAAACATGAGCTTGAACACACCAGAAGATGATCGAAACTAGCTATGTCAGGCTAGCCATAAGCC